TTATAAAAAAAAAAAGTTTAATCTAAATTTAAATACTCAGCGTCCCCTTTTCTTTGTGTACATGTGTAATCGCATCAACATAAATATCAATTGAGTCTAATGTAGTCCTAAAGGATGAGATGTGTCACACAAAAACTTTTCTGTATATATATATATATATATATAAAACACACACACACACACATATATATATATACGCAGATACAGATGCATGAGAGACTTATGGAAATATATTTTTTACTACTTTGACTAAGAGGAAATTGCCTGAAGTAAAATGGTAGAATTAATCAAAAAGATTACCTACCAGTTACTCACTGTCACTAAAAAAAATGGTAAGAAATGTAATATCTTTGATTGCAACTTAATGAGTATCTGTGACAAAGAAAAAAAAAATATAACTTTGTATATTGCAAATGAAACAGGGATCACAAATTATAATGCGCAATAAATATTTTTAGACTTTTTTTTTTTTTTAATGTGTCCTCTGTAAATTATCACCTTGCATCTTAGGTACATTATTGCCTTTCTTGGAGTGAATTGATTAAATCAAAAGTTATCACAAATTTGGCATTATTATGCTAGAATTGTTAAACAAGGATAAGTTCAAGTCTCACTGCAGGCTAATTCTTTATTCATGATCTGCATTTATTCGATTAAAGATTTTGAAGTTTTCCTTTTTTTATTATTATTTCTTAACGTGCCACTTGCTGCTGAATTATATGTCGACTTTGCAGAATTTAAAACACTGATATTTTCTTTCTGTTTTTAAATTTTATTTACTTTGTTTTTTTAATATTTGGCATGTTTTTAATGAATATGAATAGGTATGAATATTTGTTTCTTTAGACGACTTCTACAACTTTGATAAGATTCATTTTCTTTCCAGAAGGTGTTCAGGCTATTGAATCAATTCTTTGCAAATGATACTACCATAGAAATATATATTGTAAATAAACAGTCTATAATTTTGAGAAGAGTCATTACGATTCCAAGAGGTTTTCAGACTATTGCACACATTCTTTGCAAGTGATATTGCTATAGGAATACATTGGAAATAATGTTACTACAGAAACACACTGGAAATAATGTTACTATAGTAATACACTGGAAATAATGTTACTATAGAAATACATTGAAAATATTGACACTATAGAAATGCATTGAAAATATTGTTATAAAAATTTGTTGGAAATATTATTACTATAGAAATACATTGAAAATAATTGTTACTAAAGAAAAAGCATTGGGAATAATGTTACTATAGAAATATATTGGAAATATTGTTATTATAGGAATGCATTGGAAACATTGTTACTATAGAAATACATTGAAAATAATGTTACTAGAGAAAAAGCATTGGGAATACTGTTATTATAGAAATGCATTGGAAATATTGTTATTATAGGAATGCATTGGAAATAATATTACTATAGAAATACATTGAAATAATGTTACTATAGAAATGCATTGAAAATATTGTTATTATAGGAATGCGTTGGAAACATTGTTATTATAGGAATGCGTTGGAAACATTGTTACTATAGAAATACACTGGAAATAATGTTAGTATAGAAATATACTGGAAATAATATTACTATAGAAATACATTGGAAATATTGTTATTATAGGAATGCATTGGAAACATTGTTACTATAGAAATACATTGAAAATAATGTTACTAGAGAAAAAGCATTGGGAATAATGTTACTATAGAAATGCATTGGAAATATTGTTATTATAGGAATGCATTGAAAACATTGTTACTATAGACATACATTGGAAGTAATGTTCCTATAGAAATATACTGGAAATAATGTTACTATAGAAATATACTGGAAATAATGTTACTATATGAATACATTGTATGCAATTTTGCATCATCATGTTGAAAAATTTCCTAAATAATAATCTTGTTTCTAGTCTTCTTCAGTAATTATGAGGTGCATTGGGGTGTAATGGATATCAGCTCTGAATAAAAAAATCGAATACCCAATTTTGAATACCTGTCAGGTTTGTTATATTCACGAATGAGCAGATATCCTTGGGAAAGGTATGAATTCATCACTTCTTCCCCCCACCTATGGGTTGAATAGCAGGACAGACTGGGTACTATAGCCTTGTTTGTCAACCAGTCTACTGCAGAAAGAAACTGCAACCTATGGTGGAAAGAAATTTTTGTTTAAGTTCACTTGGTTATTTTGTTTTTAAAATTAATTCACTGGAGATTAAAAAGATTAATTTAATAATGTTTATACACCCTTAGATCTTCTGAAATAGAATTAAGATGCATTTTCAGTTTCCAATATCTGGGTGTCTCTTTTTATAATCAAGCAGCTTTTCTCAGTATAAGAAGTGATCTGTTGTATTTAGATGCTCTTTTGGGATCAGATGCTTTAGTTTTGTAAATTGATTGATTTTTATCACAAAGCGTCAAAAGAAAGATAAGATTGCCGAAAAGAGGGAATCCTGTGGTATCAAACACATTACTTTGGAAAGCATGTGCATTTGTAACATTGTGTGTGTGTTTGAAATAGAAGGAAATTAAGTTAAGGATGAGGGAAAAAATCTAACTAATAAACAGCCATATAGTTTGTTGGAATTATATTTATAAAAATATGCTATATTTGATAGGATCTTTTGATGATCACAAGTCCCACAAAAAAAAAAAAAGAAAAAGAAAGATATGGTGGTGTCTTTTCATTGGAACATGAATTGATGAATCATCCATTAGGAAGGCAATATTTCTTAGTAAAAAAGGAGTTTCACACTTCACATGTGGGTCTGCAAATATGAAGCTTAGGAAATCTCTCACTCACTTCTCCTCCTCCATCATTTACATATAGTCATACTGGGGGCAATAAAAGTAGTTAATACAAACCATATCCAGTGTTATTTAGTACTACAAAAACTCCTTTCTCCTGATGCAAATATGGCTGATTTGACTTTTAGTAATTGAGAAGGTGTGACTTTGGTATTGGTCTGAAGATAGTCATAGAGATAAACATTGTGACCCAACTGACTTGGCCTACAGCAGAACAATGACCATGGTTGCCAATCAAAACTATTTCCAGACACATACTTAATCATATATGATGATGTGACTATGCCATATATTTAACTACAAGAACAGTCTGCAAAACAACAAAGCCTCGGTATTTTTCTTCTTTGAGAAATATCAGATTTCTTCACCTTTTCTTCCACGTCTTTAGCTTTTTGCTTGTAGTTTTTGCCATCAATTTTTTGTTTGCCTGTAACACTTTGTAAATTTGCTCAAAACCTGTCAGAAAAACTTATTACCCATGGATCCATAAATAATTTATACTTAGCCAAACACTTTTTGTGTACATGGCAAATGTTCAGATGAGCTCTATTCTTTAGTTCCACCAATTCAGACCTGCCATGCTTCATCCATTAAGTCAAATCACCCTCATTTTCTCCATATTCCAATGGTCAGGAGTTTTACAGCCATAGCGCATTGAAACATCTGTACTCATAAAATCACCAAAGTTAAGCAAAATTAATTCAACCTGGGCAGTACCTAGATGGGTGATCTGTTGGGAATACGGGGTACTGTAAGCATGAGTGTGCAGGTGGTGCAATGCATAATGTCTCAGAATTAGAAATCAGAGAGCTGAGTTCCAGTTCTAGTTAGGTTCATTATATTCACTTATGTGCAAATCTCTTTGGGAAAGGTATGTATTCACCTCTTCTCTCCCCTCAGCAATGGATTAATTAGTAGAACTTGTATCAGTAAATGATTATCATCTCCAAAACCTTCTTCCAAACTAAAAATGTTTTCTAGCTTTAAATAATCAGCAAAGGGTTGATAACCTGTAAAAAACTGATCAATCAGTTCAATAGTCAGGAGTAAGTTACATTCAGCTTCTTCCCAAGAAGAACTGCTACTTTGTAGAACAAGCTCTTGCAGGGATACTTCTGTGAACACTACAATTTTAATTTCTTCAAATCAAGGGTCCTCCTTATAATCTTCACTTCCTACCACCTCATTCATTCATATCATCTACCTCCTGAAGTAACCCTCTTCTTGAGTGGCTCTAGGGCCTTTTATTAGATGAACTTTAGTATAAGAAACATAATATTTTTGTTTTAGGCATTTTCCAACACACATTAACCTTTAACACTCTTCATTATTTACAACTATTATTTCCTCTAATCATGCCCTTCAACAGCAATATCTTGCTGTTTCAGTCAAAATTGTTTTTGCTGTTTCCTGAGAACACAATCACAATTTTCAAACACACTACTGTTCAGAGATTAGAGTCCAGAGTAACAGGAACAGATCAGTGTTTCCTACATTAACAGGACAAACATTTTTCTTAGTGAACAAAGCTACCTACAGTGCTAAATGTTCAATAAAAACGGGGAATAAACTAAAATTAGAGTCCACAGTAACAGGACAAACATTTCTTTTAATGAACAAAGCTACTAGACACTATTTACATTATTTGGACTATTGTCCTCATCTTTGTCACCATAAATATGGCAACAAAGATGTGGAAAATAGTCTGAATAATGTAAATAGTGTGCATAATACCTCATCTCAGAAATATACACTGATACTGAAAGCTACTAAAGTTTCTACATGTGCAATCAAAATTAAGTGCAAAGTCATATTTTCAGCAAAATAGGAATGCATTTGACACAACTGGTATTTAATTTTAGATAAATTAGTCATTATTTTTCTGCAGCCACTTTATTGAAAAATGTTAGAATACAAAATGAAATCAAACAGAAGAAAAGGAATAATTTTTTTCCACAGGGAATACTTTTCTGTTTTTTGATATTTTTTTACTTTTTTCATGATATTTATAAGAATTTTAAAATGTCTACTCTCCAGTGTTTTATTGAAAAATGTTACATTTTTTGTTTGTTTGTTTGTTTGTTGTATCCTTAAAATAATTGAATTATTTTGCATTTTGCTAATTTGAAAAACTCTTCACTAGAATATTCTACTCTTTTAATCTGCCTGTTTTATTCAGAAAGTCACTGGCAGAAGATGCACCAAAATATTTTGATCCAGAAACCTGTGTGCTGGAAGCGCCAATAATAATTTGGGTTGCAAAACATGTAAGTCCTCCAATTTCCACACTTGATTACTAATTGTTATTATGGATTTATGATTGAGAACTTATGGATTTTTTCATTTGTAAGATTAAAGACAATCTTTGCAAATGATGTTAGTATGAAAATGTTTATATAGCATTTGCTTTGTATAAGGCATTATCAGGGCCAGATTAACCATTAGGTTTAGTATAGACCTTCAGCCTAGGGCTCCTCAAGCTTTTATAAAGCAATGATTTTAATTTTCTAGACATTATAACTTCCAAACAGTTTCATAAACTGAAATGATATCAATATGACAAACTCAATTTCATTTATCTTTTCAGGAAGCAAAGCAAGGAAAAGAATGTTTTAGTTTGTGTCATTTTGTTTCAAGCAGATAACATGTTTGATTTTAGTCCAGAATGTTTAAATCTTAGAAATTCTTATAAAGCAGAGATTTGAATTTTCTAGATGCTATAACTTCTAAATAGTTTCATAAACTGAAATGATAGCAATGTGACAAACTCCTATTTATTTTTATTCTTATAATGCTGGTTACAAAAAAACTGTTTTTTTTACAATGCTTGTTTTGAAATCTGTGCTAATTTGGTTTGCAATAAATAGTAAAATAGTGGTATTTCATAAAGATTAGCTCTTCTAGTTTATTTAAAGAATTTGCAATAAGTTTCTTTCATTGTAAATGTTGCTAAAATATATAAAGAGTAAAAAATATTCAAGACAGGTGCAGGCGAGTTGGAGTTGAAGTCATAATTCCATTAGCCTAGGGGCTCATAAAGGTCATCATCTGACCCTGGGTATTATAAGTGTATTTTTATGGTTTTTACACTGTATTAAGTATAGTGTGTAATTCATGTAGCATTTACATTTTGTTAGATATTACAGGTGATATTTACATTTTATTAATTATATAAGTAATTTATATGATATTTACAGGAAGTATGATAAATGTTTTATATGACATTTGTATTAGGTATTATAAGTGATTTGTATAAATTTTACATTGTATAAAGGATTCTAATTCAAATGTTATTTACATTGTATTAGGTATATAAAGGTTTTATATGGTATTTACAGTAGGTATTATGAGTGATTTATACTGCATTTACATTGTATTGATATAAGTGAGTTATATGGCATTTACATTGCATTAGATATTACAAGTGATTTTTTTATGTTTTTACATTGTATTAGACATTATGGATGATTTATATGGCATTTATATTTTATTAGATATTATAAATGATTTTTATGGTTTTTACATTATATTGTATGTATGTATAGCTGGACACTCACATTCAAGGATACCTGTCTACTAGGACGGCTAGCCAATCCCTGTTGCAGATGCTTGCTCAAGCACATTTGTGATTATTCAACACCCACAGAGCCTATCTGTGGTTTATATTGCAACTATTCTGAGCAGACCTTACTTACAGTTTCTGGTAAAGAGCATGTTATCTAGTGTGATCAGCAATTTGAACAAAGCCAGCAAGGTGAAGGCTTCAGCCACGAGGACTTGTGACTTCGTGCTAGCACAGCTATCGATGGCCCCCAAGGGTTCCGTCTACTCAATTTCACTCACAAGGCTCGGGTCAAACTGTGGTATGGTTCTCAGGCACTTTCCAAAGGTGCTGCACACTGTGAGAAACCCCACCAGTTCGATAACATGCATAAATCATGGTGAGATTTGAACCCAACTCTTATGGTCAGAATGCAAATGTTCTAAACACTTGGCCATATGCCTATCATGTATTGTATAATACCTAATACATTGTATTATGTATTATAAATAATCTGATGAAGTTTTAAAATGTATGAGAAGCTGTATATAGGTTATATGAAAATATTATAACTTTTTATATACAAGACTTGAGTAAATGTAAATTTCTGTATATGCAGAGTGTCTTAGAAGTAATCCCCTATAGATACTGATGGACTATTGTGTAAGCCTAAATCAGACAACTAGAATGTTTTGGTAAAATGGTCTGATAATTTTAAAGACTTATTCCTCAACTCATTGAGAATACCTGTAATATTTTATATTTGAGTTGTTTACTAATGGTCAGTGTTGCAATAGAATGACAGAAATAAGAAGAAATAAAATACAAAAATTAATAATAATAAATAAGGCTTCATGTAAGAAATTCAGACAATATTGTATCTAATACTACAAGTGTTAAATGAATCAAGGGTAATAAGATGAAAGAATTACTAGTAAAAAGTTGATAATAACTGACAATTCCTATGAAAAAGAAGTTAGTGGCATATGATGTGTTCAATGAAAATGTGTAAATGTAATATCACTAGATCTGAATAACTGTATGACATTAGTCATTGGTAAGATAACATTCCTAGAACAGCACACTTTCTGAGGAAAAGGGATATGAGTTCAAATCTTGCTAGAGGCTTCTTTTTCTTTTCTTTTTTTTCTGATCAATGCTGTTTAATAACAGTGGGAAAATTAAGAGAGTCTCAGTAAGAAAAAATAAAATGAAAGAAATACTAGTAAAAAGATTGAGATTAATTTTTTTATTCCTGGCATTGAATGGAGTAAATAACCCTTGAGCCAAGCACTGTGACCCTTGAACATTTTTTTATGTCAGTTCATATCCTAAATTACTGCAGAAAAAAATAAATAAATAAAAATCATTAACTTAAAAATGTTGACAGTACTTTTTGAAGACACAGACTTTTATTTTTAGATAAAGTTGATTTTGACATTGCAAAGTTTAATTACATAGCAGTTTTTCTTTCTTTCTTTTTCCCCTTCAAGTTTTGGAAAAGTTTGTGAATTTTTAAAAGATTAATTCAAGTGTTACTCTTTTATTTTACAATAATAATAATAATAATAAAATGAAGAAAAAGATGACAAATTGGCATATTGCAAAAGTATGGGATTCATTTCAGTAACTCTCCATATGTTTATGCAAGACTTCAAAGATTAAAAGAAAATGAAGCAAAAAATAGATTTCGGCATATACAAATCATAAAAGAATGGAAATTCAATGTCTCATGAATATTTTTCAAAAATTAGAAAGCAATAAAAATATTTCTGTGACTGGATTTGCATAATCAATTTTGAGGCGCAAGTTTCTGTTTGTTTTTTCTATTGGAGCTCTTTCTTACGTACAGCTGGGACAACATCAAATGAAAATTTAATGAACTTTTCTTATCAACTGGCAAACAAATTTTGAAAAAAATAATACCTTTTCTTTTCTGTTTTACCTCAGCATAAAATCCCATTTCTTTTAACATCATCGGAAAAAGGATATGAGAATGAAAAAAAAATATTTGCTCCAAAATACAGGTTTTATGTTTGGGAGCTTTCCTTTGTGAAAACAGAAAATTTCTTTACCTCCATTCTTCTTCTGTCTCTTCAGGACATTGGGGATCATGGCTTTCCACAGTTCCTGTTTTTTGTAGCACTTAATAAATTGTCTTTTTGTTATCTCTCCTAAACATTTTTCTACCTTCCATTTACTCAAGCTCTCTCGGTAGGTCATGAATTGTTTTTTACTGTCATTCTTGCCTTCAATCTGTCCTGTGGAAGAAGTATGAAACCAATGTTCAAATGATGTCACAATATTGAAATGACACATTTTATTTCATTCCTTTGTGTACTGCTTCCCTTCAGAACATAAGCAATCATGGCTATCCACAACTTCATATTTTTTTGTAGCTCCAAGCAGTATTTGTCCTCTTTACTATACCTCCAACTTCTTGTTCTGTCATCCATTTACATAAACTCACTAGGTAAGTTCCTCACTCTTTTTCCACTACTCCTCCTGTCTTAAATATAGTGACTTTCCAAGCATAGCTTAGATGTGGCACAAGACTGAAAGTAAAGGCACCCAGTGAGGATCAAACTCACTACTCAGTCAGAAATGATCAAGCAAGACAAGCTTCCTACTATTATGAAATGTCAAGGTGCCCCTCCTGCTTTAAATATATCCTGTGAGTATCAAATTCTCCAAGCCCTCTTTTCTCATTATGTGTCGCAGAAATGTCAGCTATTTGTTTCTGATTCTCAGTACAAGTGTCCTTTTAGTTTTCATTTTCCTTAAAACTCCTTCATTGCTTTCACACTTCACCCATGATGTCTAAGTGTCCTTCTATAAAATGAGATCTCTGTTGCCTCGACATTCACTGCCATATAGGTAGATTGATATTACATAGCATTTCAGCATAATTTTCGATGTTGCTAACAAAATTTTCCTATTTCTTAATACATTGCTTAGATTTTAGAAGGCATCTTATGCTATTTCAATTCACCTTCATTTTTTCTGTGTCACATTTTCTACTGTGTCTGTTAAAACGTATTCCTTAATTTTTCTTCATAGATTTTGTTTTGTGAGTAAAAGTTTAATGTCACCTAATAGTTAATGGCGCAGAAAATAGAATCAGTTTGTATACACTTTAATAATAATCTTTATCGTCAAGTGATATAGTGGAACACACCTATTCTATAGTTAATACACTCTCCCACCTATAATAAGTAGGAGTAGGAAGAGTAACGAGGAGCCGGCTCAGGGGGTCAGTCAGTCGGTCGATGCCGGATGACCGTTAGTCGGATACTAAACTATCAGCGACCACAACTAGATTTCTCTGCGTCATTACCTATTATATCAAGTTCCTAACAATTTGTACGTCGAACTTATTTTAGGACCGACTTAGTACAAATAAAAGCCTCCACTGTGAAACTACTTGGTGACGAGGGATTCAAATTCATTTGGTGGAAGAGGGGAAAAAAAATTCAACCGCCATAACACACTTGGCCATGAGGATTCATATTGACATGGGGGAAGAAGAAAAAAAAAAAATTCACCCGCCATAACAAACTTGGCGACGAGGTATTCAAATTCATACGGTGGAATTCTCCTGCCATAACAAATTTGGTGAAGGGATTCAGATTCATATAGTGGAAGAAAAAAAAAATTCGCTCACCACAACATTTGGTGACGAAATTCATACTCATACGGAGGAAAAAGAAAAAATTCGCTCATCAC